CCCCCCCCCTGCCCTCTTACCTCATGATGTAGATCATCTACCTTTGTGATGTTTAGGAGCAAATGTATAATGTGTAAAGACTTATGAGTAAACTGTGATTAATTTGCAGGAGTGTCAGGAAATGGAGTAGGAAGCATCTCAAGTTCATCACTCAGTTCTTTGGACTCTGACGATTTACTGAAGGAATTATCACATTAACCATTGCTCAACTGTATCATAGGACATGAACTTTTGGGTGGAATGGGAAAAAAAATTGCTGGCCATTTTGTGCAAGCTGTCTGTATGGAGTAATGCATCTGATTGCTGATTCATTAGTTTTCTGTATTTTATATAACTTTCAATTCTTTTAATACTTTAATAGAATCAAAGTTGAATTTCCAAAGCATCTGCAAGTCATTTTTATTGTCATCGTTTTTGTTCTTTTTAAGGCCCTCACATTTTTTTTTCATAATTTACGATAACCCTGCCATTTTATTTGACCAACCAATCAGGTTACAAGAATTTTAACAAAACATGTGCACAAGCTATTAGTCCTGAAAACAAACACAAGCAATCCCAAAGCCTTTTGGATAAAGGTGGGTCATTAACATTCACTTGTTGTGAATGGTAAAACAGTTACCTTTAATCAGATTCATTGGTACTGTATAACTTTAAATTTTGTCCATGGGTGGTTTTGAAAGCAATACATTTCCTTGTTTTCTTCAATATTTCAGTGAGGTATTATGTTTTAAACTCCCCTTCACGGGTGTTGCATGTTGCCCTAATTACATACAACTACATGTATTTTTTTTTTTATGTTAATAAACAGCGACTGTATTTTTAATATAATATATTTATATTTCTTCTTGTAAATGTGATAATAAAACAATGCTATTAAAAGGACTGATAAATTATTTTAATTTTTTTTTAAGTTCTTTGAAAAACATGGTACCACCAATGCTTACTGTGCCAGTTGACTCAATTCTTCTCAGAATTTTAGAAATGAAAGTGTTACACAGTGATGCATTTATAGATAATAAGCATCAATTATTTCTGACTGTGTCTTGCTCCTTATTGGTTCTCGATCAGTCACCTAGTTTCTTGCTATAGCAGTGGCTGTATATGTTCTTTGAATAAATGTTCAAGTTCCATCTCTGCAAATTTGACCTCAAGCTCTGAGGGAGATTTACACTCAACTTCACAAAAGTCACAAATGCTGAAAAAGAAAGAAGAATGTAATAAATTGTTATAGCTGATACAATGAAGGTTGCTTTGGGCATTGGGAATTGTGCACTGGGACTTTCTATTGTTTGGTGATCACGTAAGCGAAGCATTGAAGTGAGTTCCATATACCCAAATGCTGATGTTCAGTGAACTTTACACTTTACATTTCTTCAACTTCTTTAACCTTTTTCTCCTTAGAGTGGCCAACATTCAGTTTCTCGCTATACAGTAGCTACACTGCCTGAATTTCTCTTTGTTGAACATTGTTGTTGTTGTTTTTTTGCCCCATTTACAGGCCATTAATATTCTTGGTTATTTAATGCTAACCTTTGGGATTTGTCCTTTTTATGGGATTTGGAGTTGTATCAAATTGATTAATTAATGTTTTCCACATGAATTGGTTTCTTTTTGCATTTTACGTTGTAAGGAAACTGTGAAGATAAAATTTGCTGATGTTTCCCTTACTTTGCTAAAAAACCCAAGATTTTCCCTGAATTTTGTGACGTAGAAAAAAGAGAACTTGTTCAACACTGAAGTTGGCCTTGCGTAACCTTGCTCAACTTTAATTGCTTACGAGTGACTGTCCATACATTACCTCTATTTTATTTATGCAGGTAAAATTAACCTGTGTATGTGTTGATTTCATACCTCAAATTAATTAAATCTTGTTCATGCATCAGAATATTCATCATTTTTTCTTTACACGGCTTTCCCGATGAATCAACGTCCACATTGCAAGTTTTGTGTCTTCGCAAGTATTCCTTGACGCTCTCGGCCGCCCCCGTTAACAAGAGAAATATCAAATGGCCAGCAAAGAATATTCTTCCAGACAACTTTAGCTTGTCCACCCAACGAGCTATCGTTCTGGTATATCGGCTTTTATTCCGCATGTGGTCCAGCTTAAGTAAAAGAATGGACTTACTCGGGGTAGGCATTTTTCTGTTACTGTTAAGTTCCCGTTTGTCTAAAAATGACCTTGCATTTTCTTGTAGCCAGATTGTCAAATCCATCATAATTGCCTCTGAGCTAGTTATGAGAAGACTTGTCGCATACTCGATTAAATTAGTTTTTAAAGATGATAAACTTTTCTTAGTCATTCCCATGCATGAAAGTGATATATCAGGTAACGTTCCAGGATAATCTGGCTGTAATGAAACAGTCATTTCTACAGAAAAACTGGATCTGGCAATATCGTTTTCTGAAGTGTTCGCGACCGTGGTCAGATCTTGCTCTGGGTGGCATTTTACAACAATCTTGAAAGAAATCGGTCCTTGAGTTTCTTCAATATCGTCTAACGAGGACGGATTTATCAAATAAAACTCCCCAGGGTTACAAAAGATGGACTTTAAGGCCAAAATCTCGTTTAAGACTTCCGAGGTGGCCATGAGTAATTTCCGTCAGGCGTTCCAATTTTCGCTCCAAAGAAACTGGTACCAATGTTTGTAAGACTGCTGAGGAGGTAACGGCGGCTCAGAAATTTCGCCAACCATAAATGTGTTGAGAAATGTGTTAAGAAAATAACCTTCATGATGTGATTGATTCTGTCCTGAGTTGGACGTGGTAACTTGAGCATGAGCGAAAAGAGGTAAAGAGCATTTTGGTAGCAATTTTTAGTTCATACTGGCTAAAAACCAGTGAGGTAGATAGCATGATCTGACAGAATATGGCGTCTTAGTCTACGTTGCTGTGGAAACATCGACTGCAGTTGGATAATTTACAATTGTCTTTACAATTATCCTAATATTTCAGTAAGACTTAATATTCTTATAATTTAGGTAGCTAAAGACCACGTATAAGCCGTATGACTTATGCTAAGTCCAAGGATAGGAGGGTGGGGAGGGGGGGGGATTTGACATCTATAGTGATTCCTCACCCTTGGAAATTGTATCATCCCCTTCTCTCCCCCCCTCCCCCCCATTGACCTTTTTTGTCACAATCGCATATATTGAAGAAATTGAGAGTTTTTTTATTATTGGTAGTTTTTATCTCCAGTCTTATACAAAACAGACTGTACAAAATTGTTGGACACTTTTTACTGTCTTCGTACCCTCCCTTTGTTGGTGCAGAAGATTTGATAAGTTAACTGTGATAAACAAGATTGAGAGGATGAAGAGACGGCCCAGACGCGGTTAAAAAAACATCCAGTGGAAGTGTCCTAACTATTTTTGTGTGAGACCAGGGTGCAAAGAAAGTCAATTTTACAGCCTGCCATTTGGGCAAGCTGTAGCTAGCATCTACTAGCCCACAAGTCATTTCAACTAGCCCCAAAATCCTTTTTGATTAGCAGGATTGATTACAATTTCCCCTACCAACAGCACTTGCCCGTCGGGCAAGTTAAGAACAATAATCACTAGCCCGATAGCAAAATCCACTAGCCCCAGGCTATCGGACACAACTTTCTTTGCACACTGGAGACTGTAGCAAGACGTTTTCTACCCAGATTTGACGCCTATTTCTAGTGGGACAGAATCATTGCATTCCTATTGTCTATCCTCCTTCAATCTTGTTTTGATTTTTGATAAATTTCTTTCAGTATGTTTACTTCATCTTTATCACTAATGCTCCTTTTTAGGAAAATCCTTGTTTACATTTTTCTTATTTTCCCATTTTTTATCGACGTATTATATAAAAGCCCATATTAACATAGCAACCTTGACCACTAGGCCAGACGAAAATTAAACATTTGAAATTGCTTTCCATTCAATCAAACTGTTGCTGAAGTTAACACACTCTCAGCAATTGCACAGGTCTACCAACCCACCTTTCCTCTAACATTTTAAGTACTGTATTTCAGCAAATATTACTTACTTATTAGACAACATGCTAGCTCGAAAGGTTGTTCTACTAGCCTCTGGGCTATCAGAGAGCACTTTTGTTGCACCCTGTAACTACCCTGGCGACCAGTTTCATTTAGTGAATGGAATAAAAATAGTTAATATTAATTTAATATTTGATAAAGGCATCATGTTAACAGTGAAACTATTTTAAAACTTGTTTGTCCTCCTTTTGACGTAAAAAGGTCAGAGAAGACCATTTGGGACCTGGCAGTAGAAGAGAGAGACAGAACAGAAAATCACCCCAACCAAGGTAAACATTAATTTGAATCTACAAGGGTTTACATTCAAAGGATGCAATCTGGTAGCCTTGTGTCAAGGAAGGATATCTTTTGAACTCTGTAGCAAGAGTAAATAAATAATAAAAAAAGAAAAGTAGTATTACTGACATTGTGGTGCAAGTTGAGGAATCTTGTTCAGTGTAACCTTAGTAATTTATTGTTCTTGCACAAAGGTAAATATTTTTTGCATCTGATAGGTAAATGTATTATTGACTGTCAATATATTTGTTTTGAACTGGATTATGATTGCTCTTATTTAGATCAGCAAGATGATACGCCATTATCCAGCAGTGATGAATCCAGTATATTTGTGCTTGGAAGTAAAAATTCTGTGAGTTTTCCTTCAAAAATAAACTCAATGTTGTTGGTAAATTCTGTCATTGCACAACAGATTCAACTTCTTTTTGACCTTTACTTTCAATTTTAATTTGTAGGGAAAGACATCCTTGATTTTGAGATTTCTTGATAGGTAAGTAGCCTGCGCATTTTGTCTCTTACGAGTTACTGAACTTATCGGTGCTCTCATTTACCGCCAAACCAACAAAATTGTAAATGCCAGATGGCAGAGGTATGAGCAAGGTTTACTGACAAATACACCAAACTTGGCCCACCTTATGTCAAAAATATTTCCACGACTCATGATTCTCCAGAAAATTGAAAGTGGAAGGGAAAAATAAGTAAAGGGTAATAGATTAAATAAAAAGGTACAGACTGCCATTGGGTGGGTATTGGGAGTGGGTCTTCCCAGTTTCATTGGGGGAGTCCCGGGACCCTGAAAAGTGCACTTTGTATTTTAAGCCACCAGGGAAAGGTTTTAGTCTTGGGCTGAAGTGACCACAAAGAATAGAGCCATTTGGAGGATGAATGGGCATATAACAATATCTTACATTTCTATAATAGTAATGAATTTTTCTTACCCATATCTACCTCGTAGAGATGAAGCCCCTAAACCAACTACTGCACTGGATTACACATTTGGACGAAGAGCTAAAACCGGGCACAATATTGTAAGTTGCCTTAGAAGAAAAACCTTTCAGTTATCAAGTGAACCAGCTAGTTTAGGTTTGTTGAATGGAGGGCCTGAAATTAACTTTTTCCCTTTGGCAACAACTTAGCTCTTTATCTTATTTTTTTGAAGTGATTCATTGCCGAGGAAAGTCAGTTACCAGTTTGTGGTAAGATATTGGAAATGACTTTACAGGGGCACCCAACGACAATTTTCGGAAAAATATCTGTTCCGAAGACGATTTCAGATCTAGAATTTTCGTAACATTTGTTGTACAATTTTTTGCTTGCCTGCCTCTCCTAGAATTTTTGAACATCTAAAAACTACTATAGTTGCCCATTTTTAACGGATTTTTACCCTTAAAAGGTCACCTAGAATTTTCGGGAGCCTTTTTTCCGGCTGAAATTTTCGAAAAGGCAAGTTTTGATCCCTATAATTTTCGGATCACTAGACTTTCAGCTAGGAAATCCGAACAGATGAAAAAATTTTAGGGGATAAAAATATGCCTATATCTACCGTTTAAATACTAAAATACGTTCAACAATGCTATGTTTAAGTGGTCTTGAACTATATCCTTGTTCGGTGCCCCTGACTTTACTCTGTTTTTTGTTTCATTTCTTTTAGGATCTAGAACTTGCAGGATAATGTTTATATTATAAATTAATTAATGGTCCTTCCACATAGCGTACAGTAACATTCAATCTGTCTCAAAGTAAACTATTATTTAGGGTGGGCACACAAGAAGGGGTCTTACACAGTGTATTTAATTAACCATCCAACATGGCATAACACAACATATACTCTTCCTGAAAGACATTAGTTACGCCGCAACAAGTGAAGATTATTGGATGTTTTTCACTGCCACACAATTTTGAAATTAGTTATTTTAACTTACACATTTTCAAACAGGGCTTCATATGGTTACATGTAGATGTGATAGAAGAATATATTTTTTTTCACAAATTTCATGACTAGTTTTTTTTTTCATTTGGTCATCAGTGTTTTAAATTGAGGCACACTGGGTCCTGTATTTAATTTGCCACAATTTCTATCCCCTGGAGTGAGGTGTTAGATAATATTAATTTGATTTGTTAACAGGGAAAAGACATAGGTCATATATGGGAACTTGGTGGTGGAACATTCCTGTCTAAACTGATTGAAATTCCTATTACATCTGTAACAATCAGGTAACTCGATATAATAATGATTGCAGCCTGATTACTACTTTAAAATAAATAAAATTAACATTATAAAGAAAAGTAATCCAACTGTTATTTATAGCAAAGTCCGACGGAACTGCCGATTTTTGTAGAAGTGCCTCTAACTAATTACTGTACTCCCCTACAGAAACATGGCAATAGCGATTGTTGTGGACTTATCTCTTCCAAATGAATTGCTTCATACTCTGGAAACACTGTTGTCTCAAGTGAGTTTTTAGGTTTTCGGTAGAGAAATAATTTGTGCATAAGTGTAGTCAGGTTTGGCTAGCCAGGGTATTATTATAAAACTGGCTACATTTTATATGTTATCTTTCACCTGAAAACAAATGATTTCAAGTTAATGGTATACTAAGTTTCCTTTAGGTTTGGATAAATTGATTAAATTTTGGGTGAATTTTGGGTTTATTGGTAGTCCAGTTATAACTTTGTTTCACCAAGTAATTTACAGTGAGATTGTCACTATAGCACTTAAACCTGTGGGTGAAGTCTTAGTATACTTTAAAACAGTCAGTTTTTTCCTCAGAGTCAGTTTTTAGTGCGCAAAGAACCAGAATGAGACTTTCACACGAAGGGTTTTTTTTTTGTGTTTTGTGTGCACAGCTCAGAAAAGACCATCAGTTCAGTGAGCACATATAGAGTTCAATAAAGGCTTAAAACACAATAAGAATATACCGTAATGTATGTTTCTTTTCTCCTAATTGTCCTAATTGTCTTACAAAATTATTGTTTGGCTTCTATACAGCAAGATATTTTTGGTGAATGTAAGGGGAAGGGATGTCTGTGAACAAGCAGGATTTTCAAGTTGATTACACTATGCGGTTGAATGTCTCTTTAAGGTTAAATCAAAGGTCGGGCGAGCACTGGAGGAATTGGGAAAGAAAGATCCAAGGTACGATAGTGTGAATTGAGATGATGCACAAAAAATCTTGCAATTTTGCTTGATGCCTTACAGGGTTTCCAGAGATGCCGGTCACAAAGTTATCCACTTGTATTTGTTTGTGAAATCTTTACCTTTAGATCGTTTTATTTCTTTATTTATTAGATTGTTTTTTCGTGGAATATATAATTTTGAAGACGTTTTCTTGCCCCAATGCCAACGTCGCCGCCCAACCATAAAAATGTCTATAAAATTTTGCGAGTTTGGGAAGCTATCCCTTCGTTAGCTTACAACAAATAAATCTCAAGCAGACAACTTTACTGATTTTCAGGCGATCTTTCCGACGTTATCGACAGATTTGGCCTATAACTGCACCACCCCAAAAGTTGAAAAAAATCGTGGAAAATTATTCACAGATATCTAGTATTTTAAGTTTTATAGTCTGTACTTATTTTAAGCGAGTGCGGGTGATCATCGGGAGAAATGGTCGGACATTTACGCGAGTGAATGAGCCATTGTGGCTTACTATTCAAGCATGAATGCACCTTGAAAGCGGCGTAATAATCGAGAAAACGGGCGATTTTGGCGCAGCAGGGTGACTAAAACCGTCATTTCGGAACATAAAAAGATGATTTCTTGAAAATTATAGAGTGGATTCTTAAAGATGAAAGATTAATCTATCATTCCAGCTAAATTTTAAGTGAGATAAATGAGAATTAGCATTGAGTATCAGGCGTTTTGTAGTTTCTGCAGTATGGGAAATGACTCCTGTCAAAGTTTGACTTGGAATTTCTTGAAAAATAAGCAATGAGTTTACATTGTACGACGGATACATGTACTGACTTTTGTCTGGTCTGATCTTCTGTTACAGTTCTGTGCAACATCTTAAGAAACAAGCTTGGAAGAAATTCGGAGAAGAACACCCTGTAAGTTGAGAATACTGATTTGAATTTTTGGTCGCTAAAGCGGAGGGAAAGGTAGATGGGAAAAGAGAAGGATGAAGATGGGAAAGGGACGTGAGGGATGTTTTCGACTTGTTTCCAATGAAAGTTGGAAGATTAGCAATAACAGGGGAGAAGCACTTTGAGTAGTAGTAAAGTGGTGCGTATTTGCAGGATCATACGATCATGAAAAAACGTGAAAACGAGCTGAAAACGGTCTTGAAAATAGAGTGCATTTTCCAGACCTAAAAAGTCATGAAAAGTGACGTGCCTGGTACAAAATCACCAATATTAGCGGACTGTTTCACTTGAGAGTAATCAGGGCCAGTTGAATTGTAACTTCAGTAAACCCCCATTCCAAGACATTTGTCATTTAGCCTAAAGTTTTAACCTTAGGCCTTGGAAGTCGATAGCCTACGTTACAAGTGCCGAAAGGGAAGGGGCAGGCTATGGAAAACTAGAAGTAGATCATGGATAAGGCACGCGATTCTAAAAAAAGCGCTTTATTTGACCGTATTTAGCACGAAAATACTCTAAATGGAATTACTTTTTTTTTACGTCTCTTACTGGAGACGGGACCGCCACTTTTCGTGGTCATCGAAGCCACGAGAAGGACTAGCCATTTTCGGGGAATCGAACCCGCGACTCCTTTTCTTCAGTCCAGCGCTCTACCGACTTAGCTAATCTTGCCGCGGTTTTCCTAAAAGCAGGAAAGACACATGGGCTCTGATTCGCCGAAAATTTTACGATTGTCCTTCCTGCCTAGCGCAGTGTCTCTGGATCTCGCTGGTATTACTTTTTACAAATTTTAATTTTAAGTAAAGCTTTTTTGTCAATCTGCATCTTTCAGGACAAATCCTCTATTGACTTGTTTCCAATTCCACTTGCTATAATTGGCGGAAAATATGACATTTATCAGGTCAGTATATTCGACAGCTTTTGACCTAGGCGTAAGTAGATAGAGAGGAAGTAATGCAAGTAGTTCTATATAAACTGCCAAGAGTTTTGTGAACATCGGACGAAGGACTTTTTGAAAGTCTATGTAAATTTCAAAGGCAAACTGAGGAACCAAGCTAAAATAGGTTAAACGCAGGGTGATGGGAACTTTTGTCACCCTTCGACTCGAGACAAAAATATTGGAGACTCCAGTTTATTTAAAACCGATAAGGGGATGTTTTATGTGGTTGTCGCAGTAGCTAATAATCAATTTTTCTTGCAGGATTTTGATCCCGAAAAACGTAAAATGATCAGTAGAACACTGCGCTTTATAGCGCATAGCAATGGGGCCCATCTGCAGGTTAGTAAGTTTATTTCCCCTGCTCTTTCAAAGTATGTTATGTCGCCAGTTTTGAAAGTTTTTAAATAATAAGATATTTGCTCTCCAAGGTTTTCAAAATCCCTTTTTTAAAAACTTATCGCTATTGAGTTGTGTAATAGAGTTTTAAAGTGATTACGTCATAAAAATTAAGTTTGTGAAATTATGGGATTTGCCAGGAAACATATAAAGTGCCTAATCCCGTAATATCACGACTCAATCTTTCATTACGTCACACTTTCGACTCTATTCCAACTGAGATTTTCTTGGCAACGTTCTCGGACTCGCGTATCATTAAGGCTAGGGCAGGGCATTGTGGGATGGATGTTTTGGTGCATCGGTCCCAGAGCGCAACGGGCAACGCGTAAAAGAAATGAAAGAGACATGGGAACGAAACAGTGAACTAACAGTGGTAGTTTTTTTCTTTGTAGTTCTTTAGCACCAAAGCCGAAGGTCTGACAAACCGTGCACGTGGTTTGGTTGGCTCGCTTTTATTCCATACTCCTCTCAAGTAAGTGTTTTATTTCCCCTTTAATAGCTGTCTGTCACGAGCCTGCATAACTGGCTCTTTATGAGCCAAACGAGGCAACCGCGGTATTTTGCGCGAATCGCGAGAGGCGCGCGAATCACGATTCCTCCGCTCGCGATTCGCGCGAAGTGCCGTATTTGCCTCGCTTGGCTTATAGAGCGCCTGTAATGCAGACTATCTGTCACTATCCATTTTTGCCTAGGCAAATAGCTCTGGCCATTCCACCCTAGGAAACAAGGAGACAGCGTATAGAGCAGTGATTTCAAAAGCGTCTGGTATAGCCATACTTATCAATACCGGATCATTAAACTTAGGTTTTATACAGGTAGAAATATTGTCACTTTTTGACTTGACCCGTTGAAGCTAAAAGCTCTGACGGTAATCCCGGGGGGATATTTATTTCAAGCACATTTGACGGGGGCGAGGGGCTTACTTAATTTTGCGAAGCGGGGCGCTTAACTGCTTTTCAAACAACCAGAAGATGGTATCAATTCATGAAGTTGGAGGTCATGCAGCCGAAGATCAAAACAAATCCGAACATTCTGTACTTGAATAAACCATATTACTGTATTCAAATTGAAGTGTAACAGTCGTGATTAAAGGTCTATCAATTATTCATTTGGTTGTGAAGAATAAGGAGGGAGGGGGGAGAGGGGGCTTATTTGAGAGGGAAGGCTTAAAAGCGGTTTGTTATACATGATGTTTACGCTATATTTGACGAGGGCGAACAAGTGACGTTCTTTTTCTGTTTTTAGTAAAGTGGTATCAGTGGATCATAATAAACCCATCATTGTTCCAGTTGGTCAGGACTCATTTCAGCAGATAGGTGAGAGACAAGAGGGCAAACTCTTAGTTTTATTTTATTGTTTATTTCAACTTCTATTCTCTGACGAGAAATTCTTTGTTTCTTTTGTTTTAGTATAAAAGAGCCCATAACTAAATTTAGCGTGTATATCTAGTGTCCCCAATTAGTAGTTAAACACTCTTGACACGTAAATAAAGTTCTTCATCATCATCATCATCATCATCAACGATTTGACTTGGGCTTGTGAGTCATGAGTTTTTTCCCTTCTTCTGTCAGGATCTCCTCCAGTGGCCAGTCAGGATGTGGGAAAAATGCACAGCAGGTTGGTAAAGTGTTCTTTTAGGCTTTTCTTGTTATTTAACAGTGTATAGTTTTTCTTGCAACGTGGATTAACAAGTTTTAGCCCTTGGAAGCCTTTGGGGGTGGGGGTAACCCTTGGCTCTTCTTAATCAGGGACGAATCATCTGATCGCCCCTTTTTTCACCAAGGCAGACACTCGGTGACTTAATTGGCTTCTAGTGGCCTCACCACCCTAAACCTAAATGATTTTTTTAATCCATCGGGTCCGGATTGATGGTAATCATCTTTCGAACCATCAATGAACTTAGGAAGGGAAAAAACCAAAAGGCGGCTTTTGTTAAAAACGAATTGATTGTTGCGAACTAAGTACTATGTTATATTTCAGGGATCCACATGAGCAATGGAAGGCGGCCTTCTCTACGTTTTTCCCACCAGAGGTAAATGCTGATAATGCTACATAACCCGCGTAGCAGGCGCACTAGAAAATAAAGGGGCTCTGCAAGCAAACACGACGCCTACTACAGCGACAACGTCTCTAAAATCCATTCGCGCAGTTTCAAATTTAGTCGCTGTTATTTCATCTCGTCCAATTTGCCAAATGTAGGAGACGTAGGAGTAATATCCAAGTTCAGAAAAAAAATCAGATTCTCATGTTTTGGTTTCTTAATCTTGAGCTCCCTAATGGGGTTATATGTATTGTACGCTTTGCAACGCGGGCTTCTACTAATAAAATAACCACTCTCGTCGCTAAAAAGTCTAAAGCTTTCATATAAACCCTCTAATAAACGCCCAGGCAAGTAGCAAGTATACAAAATTCTCCTCAACTACTTCACCACACTTTGCCATTTTTTAACTCAGGCGAGCGTGCCCGTTATGTGTGTTAATAGATTTTCTTGGTCAAAATCTCAGATCACGCTGCTGGCAGTGCTCTCATTTTCCCTAAAATTGTCCCGGAAAATTGTGCTGTTTCCGTGACTTGGTTTTTGCCTTTTTTTATCGACGTAGAAATCTCAAGGGCGAAGTACGAGTGAAGATCCTTCTAAGGATCCGCAGTATGCTGAACCAGCGGTTGACACGATGAGGAAACAGAAAGACGAGGTAAACTGGGTACAAAACTGTTATACATTTCTTACACTGGAGTTGATGTTTTAAGGCGTCCCTCGCTTTCTTTCTGTCTGAAGTGTAAATATTCTCTTGTCCTTTCTTACATCGTTTTTAAAGCACACGTTTCCGTTCCCCACTTAGTCTATGTGTTAAGTAACCTGCGCTACAGACGAAACTAAACTCTGGTTAAAGGGACAGATCATGCACACGCGCAAGCGTCATCTGTTTTTTCTTCAAAAGATAATAGAACTGTCATATTGACTCGACAGGATTTTCTTCCGGGCCGCACCGCCGACGGAGTCGTGTTGTTTACATTCTCAAGTAAATATATTTTAGACTTTCGAAGAAGTCTTTCGTCTTATTTAAAAATTTGGCTCGCGGCACGAAGACTTATCGCGATTTTGTCGCTAACAGGGCCGCCTCGCGACCCTAAATCTCGTTCCGCTTGCTTTAAAAACAGCTTTTCTAATGTGAAACTCGTGTCACAGGTCAGTTTCTCCAAGTCCAGTAATATGCGAAACAGCGCCGAAATCCGTGCTCTGGGCTCCTACCTGTGTACCAAGATTTGAAAATGCGCAGGGATTGGCCTGTTAAACAAGCCATTGTCAATTTGCCAATAAGGTGGGAAGGAAATTCGAAACGCATTTCCGGTAATTTGTTGAATCTGTTATTGGCCCAGACCAAGGATATCGGCGCTGCTTCGCAGACTTTACTTACTGCGGTTAAACTGGGACATTTTCACGGTTTAGCGCATGCTCATTTATCAAAATGCTGTTTTCCTGCCGGGACATGCTGTATCGTCTATGCAAGCAATATGATCATGTCATAATGTTGTCAAAGAACCAATCTGCACACTCCCCTGGCAGTCACTTGATCAACGTATGTGCAAATAACTGTAAATTAATCAACCATGAAATAAAACCTTCGGATCAACAATAAATTCAACGTTGGTAGTGTTGGCATAGTCCACTAATGATTTCTGCGATTTTAGTACTCCTCCATCTTACTTCAGGTTACTCTGAAATACACTTCTACTTCCAAATACATTCTGAGATCGCTGAGATACATGTGAGTGGGATTATTAACCGATATAATTGATAATAGATTGGAAAACAGTAATTTAATTAATGAGCATACGCTTATCCGTGAACCTGTCCCTTCTACGCAGACTAAAGAGCAGGAGACAGGAAATAATTTGTGACAATTTTATGACCCTTCTCTCCTTTTCCTTCTCGTAGGAGTTGGAGAGATACCGGAAGCTGGCCATGAGAAAGGTTCGCGACGCATCTCGAGCCACTGCTGGGGAAAAGCGCCCACGATGACATGGGTCAGCTCACAAAACATGAACTTAGCTCGTACCCAGATCTTCCATGGTCAGTGTAAGAAAGAAAAAGATCTGGGTATGAGATTAAAGATAATCTTTCAGAAAGTTCTTTGTATGGTTAATCCCTTATTTATTCTAATAACAACACTGTATTTAAGAGAAGTTGAAACTCTGTGCACTAATTATTGCTAGTCTGAAATTTCATCCGTCTCCTCCCCCATCCCCTCCCCCCACCCTCGACAACGGGTGGTATGGGTAAGGCGTCGTGGGGATCTGGTGAAGAGACGTATGGAATTTTAGATTATAGTCAATGTATGCCTAGTCCCTGTGAGGCGTCTTTACAGGCCTTCTCGCTCAATACCTTTCGTTGACGTATCCGAGACGCTCACAAACTCGCTCGGACCACGTCACCCGGAATGTATAGGCTGCTTGGATCAATGAGGCCGAAGGACCAGGCAAAGAAAAACCTGCTGACATGAAAATGGCATTTTTGACGTTTCAGTAAAGTTTGCATTTATTTTGTCATACAAGGAGTCAGAAATGTGTCAAAAATAAACCAGGCCGTGAAAACGCCGTTTCATTGCTCCGGGTTGTAGCATCTTGATTTAGCTGACATTCTGTAATTAGTTAGCCTGTTCACAGACCCTCTTTTTTCTCTTCAAAGTCCGTCGAGCGCGGCGGATGATAAAATATAAACCGCAGGGGATTTATTGGCCGCCAGCGCTATTTTTCTTTCTCGCGCTCCGAGCTCGCCGATGTTTTCGAAAAGAACGAAAAGAAAAATAAAACAACGTCTGTGTACAGGCTAGTAATTAGCGGACAAAAGCGTTCGATAGTCCGAAACTTCCTCCCTAAATTTTCTCCCAAATGAAACTGTTCTTGGTGAATACCTTTTAGCTATTAGCAAGGCACTCGTATGTGTCTGCTCAATGTAGGGTTCTCTGCACAGGTAACTCTCTCGAAAACGGGTACCGTCGTGACTGTGCCCAACTGTCTGTCTTAAAGACGTGTCTGTCCTATAGAAAGTTAAGTGACAGTAAAGTGACTCAAAACAGGAGCCCATAACGGCTAAAACTGGCTGGTTAGGGAACCAACGTCTGGTGTCCGTCTTGTCACGAGAGGTGTCCGTTAAGAGATAAATGGACTTGAAAAAGGGTCTCCAAAGATGTGACTAACCTTGCAGTAGGGAGCTGAAGCAACCACGGCGACGGCGGGGAAGACATCGCCAAAAAATAATAGTAACAATTCGCGATCTTTCAAACAATTGCGTTATTTTTTTAATAGACCCGCTCAATTTGTAAATTGTGGGCGATTTTTCCCGAGTTGAATTCATTAAAAAGATTGCATTCAGGTTAAAAAAGACAAAGGAAAATTCATCCTTGTGTGTTTACTTCCTGCGAAAAACGTCGCATTAAAACTGTTCGTCGTGGTTGGTTTGTTAGAAGTCGAAGTACGATAGAAAAAGAAATCAATATTAAAAAATACAAAGCAGTCTTTTTTAAAGTGTTCTTTATTGTGTTCTACAGACTCGTATCTCATTAGTGCCAAAAAAAGAACTTACCAATGTTAACAAAACAGCATTTGTTTTGTGGTATCTTCTCATAGATTTTCACTATAAATTCATCAGCCTTTGCTAAAAAAAAAAACCGCGAGCGGTCGTCCTTCTCTCTAAGAGCCACGCGCGGTGAGCGAAAAAACATCGATTTTTTCTTCACGCCCTCGTTCCTGGCGGCTTTGCAGATCGTCTCCCTCGTATGCTGTCTCTCAAAAGTTAGGGCCTGTTTAGATGGAGGTGGGGCACAGTGGCGGATCCGGATCCAGACCTTCAGATAAGGGGTGGTGGGGCCGGTCATCCAGACCCTGAGATAAGAGGGGGGCCCGGTCCCAAATAAAATTTTTAAGGGGGGGCGGGCCCCCCAGACCCCTCCCCTGGATCCATCACAAGGGCATCCCAGATAGGTGAGGTAACATGTGGCATATCTGTTAACTGAAAAGATCAATTTAAAATGAGAGATTTTATGGATAGGCGGGTTACCCAACCTAAGTGGATTACCTCATCTACTGGGGTTCCCCCGCCTCCATGTAAACAGGCCCAAAGAGACTGCTCGCAACCTATTTACCATTTAAAGCACCTTGTTTACCCCCCAAAATTTTGCATAACCATTGTCTTCGATTTCTCTTGGGACGACTGTAATACCCAGGAGAGAGAAAACCATCCGATCCTGTGTTAGCCTGCGAGCAAGCTCTCCATTTCGGGGATATCGTGAAAAGTAGACGCGCGAGAGGCACGCACGCGAGAGGAGAGACCCGGCTCGCTCGCTCAAATAGGAAAGCTTGCTCGCAGGCTAATCCTGTACAGTACAGGGGCTTCGTAACTTTCGGGGGAAACTTTCGTCCAAAGCCCTTGTGCTTGCGTTTGCATTGTGGTAGTATTAACTGGCCTAGCCTGTTCCAGGCTCCGAGATGGTGGTGGAAAGTCGTTCAGTAAATAAGAAATGAGAAAAACGCGCACGTCTTATTTTCGCTTTGCTCGTTTTAATACGTTCCCACTATACTATCTGAGAGCCTGGCACAGGCTATAACTGACCCAAGGGGATCGCCCATTACACGCGCTTCGACCACGTGAGTAAACATGCACGCTTTTGCGATTGCGCCGTTCGAAGCATCTCTAATAAGAGAGCGCGATGGAGAAGAGAAGTCGTTTCGTCACGTTTCCATGGTAGCAAAATTTTTGGATGACAACAAACCGAAAAGTCGCTTAAAAGTCTATTCGCACTATTTCAAACTTCACCGATCCTTTTCAATTTCATTTAATTTGGCAAGTCTTGGCGAAATTTTCTTTGGGACCATATGTAACGTTACTTAAGTTTAGAAAATGAAAGCGACAATTTTTGTGTTGTGTTCACCTACTCCACAAAGCAGGCTCGTGAAATTAGGAAGTTTCATGTCGTAGTGGTGCAACGACGGTAAACAAATGTACAAAATAGCGTGATATACGTGCAAAGTTGTTGTTTGTTTTATAAACATATCATTTTTTGCTGATCTCCTTGCCGTCGTCGTCGTTGGTTTTGTGTTGTCAACCAGAAATAGTGCTACCATGGTAAGGTGACGTCATACTTCTCGTCTCTATTGACCTCCAAATGTTTCCTTAAAGATGACAATTACATTAGACTATGAAAGATACATCAGATTAAATGAACTCGAATCAGCAATAAAGAAAGAAAAAATATTTTCCTATATGACCGATATTTGTTGACACAGTGCGATTACAAAGAGTTTTGACCTTGCCTTGGAAAATATTTAAGACATCCGCGGAGAACGTGTGATTTTCCATTTCTCAAGTCTTCCTGAACAAAAACCGCATCTCAAGTAGTGGTGTGACTTGATATTTTGGCGAGAAAAAAGGTCGTCGATTTTAGAGGCCTTTATACGCATGCGTACGGCTTCGCCGGAATATTTGCTAAAAGAAATCGAATGCAATACTACTTTGTTCAGTTACCGTAAAATCATTCAGTTTTCCTTGTGTCGGGCTAATTATACAGGAGACCCCCCAGACCGCAACGTTTATTTAAATCTCTGATCACATGGTTTGATCCGGAAGGTTTATCTCTTCTCTGTAGTATTACACGTGCTTGTTTTCGCAAAATAAACAAGAATGTTTCTAAGCCTTAGGGAAGGAAAACTGATCTTGTTATCATGTCTGATTTTACTGAACGGGAACTAAACAGCTACAGTACAAAGAGACTCGAGGCCGTTGTCAGTGGCAACAGTCGGCGGCCGTAGGCGATTTTAAACGCACTCCCTGTGAATTCAATGATAACTTCATCACTTCATCTTTGCTTTGCACGCAAAATCGAAAACCATTCTAAAGAATTTGTTTTCCTTTAAAACGGATAAAAAATTGCCTCTGTGTTTTTATAAATTAAAAATGCATGGTTTCATTACCGCAATTATCGACAAAAACTAAAGCACTGAGTTAGAAAATCATCAGAAGGTGCTAATTTATTAACCATAAAATGGAAATCGTGTCAGATCAGTGTAGTTCAAAAGGAAATAAACTTTGCTCCAAACAAGGGAATCTTCTCGCGTTTCCGCACTGTTTCTTTAGCGGCAGGAACGTAAATAGACACCCCCAAATCTTCTTTATTACGTATTTTTCTTTTCGTATAGTCGAATCAAGCAAAGGATTATTCAAAATCCCTCTTGAGTTATTGCGATAACAACACACACTTCCGTTTATTGGGTTTCAAGAGCAAAATAATGATTAAGCGCGATAAAAATCTTTTTCTTCGCCAATCTAGAGGGAAAAAATAGAAATCGCTACGAAATCGGCTGGGACAGCGCAAAAACGAAACGATAACAATGGCAAGTCATAATCGAAGGATCAGTGGTTGCTATGGTAACCACCGGGACCTTTATGGCCTTTGTTCACCGTCACAACAGCAGATGAAGATCGTAGACCACCCGTTCATTGCTCGCCCGGCTCTGCAATGGCGGTTGTAAACTTCTTAGAACCATGACGGTTTCGAACACTATGGCCGACGTTTCCTCACGGGAGCATGAAAGCGAAGGTGATAAAAGAAAGATCGAACAACCACGAGAGAAAACTCTAACACCGTATGAACGTCTTTCATATGACTTGGCACACGACGAACGCTATCTGAAAGAAATCACTCTTGGAAAACGGATAGGATTCTATCGCATTCGTGGAGAGTTAGGTAGCGGAAACTTCTGCCAAGTGAAAATGGGGATACATTCGCTGACAAGAGGTGAGAACGCTCAGTTAAAAGGGAATTAAATGCAGTCATCGCGCGCGTTCGAATTGCAGTTTCACGACATTCATGTTTCTCTGTTTCATTACAGACAAGGTTGCTATCAAGATCTTAGATAAAACGAAGTTGGATCAGAAAACGCAACGATTGCTCTCCAGGGAAATTTCATCGATGGAAAAGCTTCATCATCCAAATATTATCCGGCTCTATGAAGTGATAGAAACGCTTTCTAAGTTGCATATTGTTATGGAATACGCTCCCGGTGGAGAATTGTTCGCTCGAATTTCGAACGAGGGAAAGTTACACGAGCGAACTGCACGGCGCATTTTTACGCAGGTCACATCCGCTGTGGAGCATATGGTAAGGTCGATTTCTCTTTTTAATTAAATTTAAGCATTTGTTACACGAAAAAGCATTATTATATGGATCTAAAACTCAGGGTTGGGGAAACTCTGATGAAAAATATAAATTATTGAACATGAAGTGGTTTTAATTTCAAGTGTGATCGATTTCCTAACTTGTTCAGCTCCGACGAAAATATGTTACGTAAACCACACAACTTTCATAGAGGCTGGTTATTGCTGATTTTTGAATGTATCACTACTATTATTTTGCAGCACGATAACAATATTATTCATCGAGATCTGAAGGCGGAGAATGTATTTTTCGCTGGTCCAAACTTAGTGAAAGTTGGAGACTTTGGTTTTAGCACTTTATCTACTAAAGACAGCACTTTGAACACATTCTGCGGCTCTCCGCCGTACGCCGCTCCGGAATTGTTCAAAGATGAACACTACATTGGAGTTTATGTCGATATCTGGGCTTTAGGAATACTTTTGTATTTCATGGTAACTGGCGTGATGCCGTTTCGCGCGGAAACTGTTGGAAAACTGAAGAAGTGTATACTCGATGGCACCTATTACCTACCAGAATTTTTATCGGAACGTTGTAAATTTCTATTACGGAATATTTTACGGCCTGTTCCCACGGACAGGTTTACAATGGAGGAGATAAAACACTCATCGTGGCTCGAAGGAGAGGTATTTCCTCGTCCGGACACAACGTACAGCTTAAAACCTCCGGAACCTGACAGTGCTAACTTGTCAGAGGACGAACGCGATGCGTTACGCACAATGAAGGAATTGGGAATTTCTTCGGAGCAATTATCAAACTGCAGGGATTCCAGAGATAGCATTACTGGTACTTACAGGGTAGTTCTTCATCGAATTACGAGAAAGAAAATTGAACTCGCCCGTAAGACCTCCACACTAAGCAGTTACAGCAATAATAATAACAACAATCACCATTTGCGAGGCGAAACACATCCACGGAAGATTGAAAGCAATGAGAGGACCAAGATACAGCCTAAATCGAAATTTTGTGTCATTCTGTAATTGTCATTTTGTGTACAGTAATTTGGTTGTAAGTTCAACCTTCTTTTTAATGAGAAAATATTATGCCAAAGACTATCCAGTCGTCTTACTTGTCCGTCCTTCAATTTTCATTTAGTTTGTTTTGGGAAGATTTTAGAACAGCTTTATTTGTTACAAATAACGGATTTGAATGGATAATAAGATCGCTTATTTCACGCAGGCCCGTGAATAAATTCTAACTTCTTTCTTTGATCTATTATTAACACTTAAGTTATATTTGCCTACAATTTTTACACATCTTGTCTCAAATATTTGAACGTAAACATATCATGCGTAAAACCCTCGATCGGGAAATTGAGACGAGCAAACGAATGTTGATTACTCGTGCGGTGAAATGTAATACGTTCCTCCGTAGCTATGGAAGACTTTATTTGTGTGGGGTGATTAACAAAAATAGTTTTCGTAATTTACGTCAACGAAAATTAAGCATACGAAAAACTTGAAGAGCTTATCAAATATTGTGCAATTTCTTCTTAAATTCATTGCAATTCAATTTCAATTGTTACATTTTTTTGTAAAAAAAAAATGGTTATTGATTGAATATGAACTCGTTTCTTAATAATATTTGGTTGTGTTAGAGGTTCACATTATAATGTTGAAATTTTACTAAATAATTGGTAGTGTTTGACCAATCAGATATCAGAATCTGTTCTAACCACAATATTCTTGTCTGGTTGACAATGGCCCTCCAACAACTTTTAAAATATTAATAACTTTCTTATTTGGCAATACAAATGCATACTTCCTTTTTTCATTGATGGATATTGAGAGGAAGCATAAAGGTATATTTATTGTTAGGGGTTTTGAAGTGCCAGAAAAAGGAGAAAAATGTCTTGTAAATAGTAGAGTGATTTGAGGCATATTTTCAGAAAAAAAGGATTTGTAAATATTCACCATCCAATTTCTCTCTGGAAATTATTTTTAATTTTTGCAAATAAGTTTGCATTTTATTTATGTGTAGCATCTGAACATCAATGGTTTGATAAGGACTCCTAATAAAAAGTATTTTCATACAATAGACTACATGTACATTAATTTTGAATGCATGTTGTTGTATTCTGCCCTAAGTACCGAGCCATTCAATCAAGACACCTTACAAGTGAACTCTCTTCAGCCAATCAATCATGATGATGATGATGATGATGGCGACGATGAATAGAGCCGCTTCCATTGGAAGCATATGTTCAGTCAGGGGCGAGCTTAGATCAACTGCTGAAAAATGAAACCTTAATTTTTTGATGCGCTTGTTTTAATTCATTGTTTATTTCTAATAGTCACTTTGATATTCACAAAATGTTATGTTGACAATCTGCTGCTGGTTTATTCAGGTTGTGATAGAGACCAACAAAAAGAAATGTTGTGATCAATATCATGAAACAAATTATGAAATAAAGCTGTGATATTCAAACCATGATGGAACAACATCAGATTATAACAATATTTTCCATGAACCAGAAATAGAGCATGAGCATGCAGACATCACAGAAATTTAAATATTTTGTTAAATTAATAGGACTGACTTAAAATATTCTGAAAGAGCAAGAGGAAAAATGTGGTCTATTTGCCAAATTAGAGCAAACTTGTGGTGAGTTATAAGCAACTTTATGCTCTGGAGATGTCTTAAAGCCTTCTGCTTCGAAAAATTTTTTTTATTGAGGTGGATTGTAAAGGGAACGATTCTATAAAAATTCACATGGAGTCATATTCTAAGCATAACATTGATTATATTTTTTAATATTTTCACCACCAGTTTGCTCGAGCATACTGATCGTTTTTGTAAAGTGGATAGTTTTCATCTTGTTCTTTCTGATTAGCCTACCCAGTCCAATAATTTCTTAAATTATTTGTTTGTGGCATAATTTATCTTCTCTACTCTATAACCTCTATGTACAACTTGTCCAGCAACCTTCCGTTCTTTTTTGGTATACTTTTTGAGATAACTAAAAAAATTCAATTTTATTGAAATGGTACATTCCTATTCAAAAGGAATTTGCAAGTACCAGTATTATATCATTTCATTCTGACAGGGTATTTTATGCAAGTGACAGACCCTCCTCTTTGTTTGGAAAGCTGGCACTTCCGCAGATCAGTCAGGAGAAGTGTTTTTATTTTATAAAATAAGTAGATATTTTTCCAGTGTCAGGGTTCATACTCTTTTAAGCTCTTCAAATTCCAGGATCACTTTCCATGACTTTTTTCATGACCTTGTAAAGTTTTCCTTGACCTTACTGGTTTAGCTGTCACCTTTTACAAATTTTTTACAAAGAACCTGCATTTTCCTTCATTAATGGTAATTAGCACAAATTTAGGCTGTTTAGGTTCTTAAATTGGTTCTTGGAAAAATACATTGTAGCTAAGAGTATTTAGTGGTGTTCAGCGTATTCCTTAGCTTTTGTGTTTTAGGGTATTTTTGACGTTTAACAGTTCAACAGACACCACCTCTGGTGTCCACCAAAATGTGTGCCGTTCATGCTGTCCATGCTTTGTCATCTGCAGTAACTATATAAATCTAACAAACAAAACTTTAATTTTCTATGATTTTCAAGGACTGACAATTAAATTCCATGGCTTTCCAGGCCTGGAAAATGAAATTCTTAAATTCTGTGATTCTCCAGGTTTTCCATGACCAGTACGAACCCTGCAGTGAGACTGAGTGTTCCCTGTTAGCAGAGGGCTCTTTTCCCTGGTACTTGGCAGGCGGAAGGAAAAGAGACCACCTGCCAAATACCAGGGAAAAGCGACCTCATTCCGGGGCGGGGGGAGGTACCCTTATGTTAGGAAACAGTGGACGTGGCCTGGATCCGAGAGGTGTGAAGGCTCACTCCCAAAGTGGCAAGATACTAAGGCAAAACGTCAAAATTAAAACAATTTACATTGGGCTAAGAAGAAATAATTCCATTAAATTGCATTCACCACTGAAGACTGTACTTCTACAAAATATGGGTCTACCCTAAAAAATAACTCAAAGAAAATGGGTTTAGCCCTGAAGAATTTCATGAAAAGGTGATTCCTTGTTCACCCCTGAAGATTTTGGTACAAATTAATCTTCATCCCCAAAGAATTCCATATTTTTTGTTTGTACCCCGACAGAAATCCTCCATTTTTATAACTTACCGTGAAGAATTCCACTGGTCCTTAAAATGCAATAGCCCATTTACTAAATTTACTTGCTAATTAATTGGAGTTAATATTAAATTAAAAAGTGCCAGACAATAAAACATCCCATCAGCCCTTTCGCACAATATGAAACTTGCGTGGCTACTAAGTAGAGAGAGGTTACAAAGCATTCAAGATGGCGTCGATCTGATATACGTTCGTTTGGGTAAAAGTTCTTTAAGTTTTCCTTTCTTTTTCATCCCATCGACACTTTCATTAACAAAACATAATGGATAAACAACAAGCTCCTTCTCGAGTACAAATGGGGGCAAGGACGATTCTACAGCAAAAGGTATTCGTGAGTGTTGGTGCAAAATTTCATACAGGCTATATTTATAATTCTTTAAATTAGCTACTTCGTTTAACTATTATAATCAGATTATTTAGAATATTGTGCGTTGCCGGTTGTAAGTTTGTATCTTAATGAAATAGCGATATATGAGTCGTATTTTCCAAGTATGAATCGTGATATAAGGCTCATTAGAGGGCTGATTATAAAATTCCTCCATACGAATTAAATATTTTTGTCATGACCACAGAATTTATGAGAAGTGGTGCTACATTGAAAAGAAAGACTTGCCAAATTTTCCTGCCCAAAAAAATCCCGGAATCAAAACTTTAAAACCCGAAAAAATCCTTTGACTATCCCCGTCTCTTGAAATCTGGAGCACCCCCCTCCTGGGCTTTGAAAGGTGACACAGCCTTGAAACAGTGATATAAGACAGATATAATAGCATCAAACAACGTAACGTAAAATTTAAAAAGTGTCCATGAAACAACAAATTATAGAAATACCCAAAGAATGATAGCTTCCTCTACAGTAGACCTTGTCACGGTTTTGGATGCCATCTTAACGAGTAGGCAAACCTGTGAGAAATTACAGTGTTTGTATGAGAATCTAATGTCGAATAATTTCCATAAAACTGCTCTTCTGAAAAAAAAAAGTCAATAATGGATATTCTTGACAATAATTGACAAACAATTGACAATAATTTATATTATACAAATAATTGACAATTGATATTTTTGACAATAATTGACAAACCTTTGCTTTGTAGCTTTAGTTTACAATTATTGTAAACTAAAGCTGCAGAGCAAAGGTTGTCCCAAAATATTTTGGGGCGTATCTGTGCTTAAATTTCTCCAGAGGCTTGCTTTAGCTTTTCCATATATTTGTCTGTAATTTTTTGTGGGACTTTCTTACAGACAAATGTATAGAAAATTTTAAAAAGTGGTTCTGGCGCATGTAACGCGCTCAATTTTTTTCAGTAGAATCCTTAGGAGTGAAGCTTTAGTTTACAATTCACTTTTTTTTCAGAACAGCCGTTACAGCCGTTCAATGAAAATTACTCGACATAAGATTCTCATGCAAACACTGTACGCATGCGTTTGCCTACTCGTCAAGATGGCGTCGAAAACCGTGACAAGGTCTATTCATGGGAAAAATGATTTTTAAAATTGAAAGTGGAGACTGTATGACCTTCCTCCCTACCCTTTTTAAAGAAGCCCTTAATATAGAAAGCTAAAGAATTCTAATAAAGAAAGCTAAAGAATTCATCACCTCTAGTTTTCCACAGATTCTATCTCTCCTGACTTGATTTGATGTCTTGCCATACTTAGGGTGAATTCAATCGTAGCATTTGCCTGTTAGTATTTTTATTACTTTTTAATTTAACAAAAAAATTCTAGTGGGCAAATACAATGGCCAGAGGCTGTCATGCTAAGAATGAGTCCACCCTATTAAAATAATATAATGTCAGCTTCACTATTACTAATAATTGAAATTATCAGTAAAATTAATTGAA